TTTTTTTTATCAACGTACTTCGATTATTTGTCTCTTATATAAGAAACGGAGGGAGTACTATTTACTACTACTTTATAACAATTGACAACATTTAAAAAGCAAATAACAACATTTTTTATAGTCATTTTTATTGAGATTTTGAAATTTTAGAGTTTTTTTTTTTTTTGGATTTTCCCTTTAAAAGAGATACTCCCTCCTATCTATAAGCTTCAAATTTTAAGAGAAGTGTGGTCCGTTTATAAGCTTTAATTTAGGTCTGTCTTAACATTTAATACATTTCTTTCAATTTTACCATTATTATTTATTCTTTCTTATTTGTCATACTCTTCTTATCACACTTCCACACACACCTTCTCTTTCATCCGTTTTTTCATTTATTATAAGGACGCATTGGAAACAAAAATATATTTTTAACCTATTTATTGTTTTTAACTAATTTTAACTAATTATTCACTACCCATGAATTATTTATTTGAAGTTTATAATAAAAACAAGGGAGTATAATGTAATTTAAAATTTTTTTTAGTGATAACTTAAACGCTTCCCCAGACTTCTAATCGTTATTAATTGTATTACTAGGGTGTTTAAATATGACTGGTGTCGTCACCTTCAATACATTGAAAGAAAGCAAAGTTTCACGCGTTATTGTGGGATCATAAAGAGCCTCTCCACCAAACTCCGCGTTACTTTTTCAGTTTTTCTCTCCCATTTATTATTACCTTTAACTTCCCTTAATTCTCCTTCACTCCTAAATCTATCGTCTTCGTCTTCTTCCTCCTCCTCTTCTTGTCTGTATCCCTTTGACCTTACCCACAACATGTTGCTCGCCATGCTCTTCCTCGCACTCTTGTTCGTCGCCGGCCTGCTCGCCACACTATTTTACCCATCTCTTGTTCACTATTTCTCCCCCAGAAAACCCATTGAAGCTAGTCCAGCTGCTTCTTCTTCTGCTTCTGAAACTCGAAAGAAGAAGAGGATGACAAGTAAAGACGATGTGAACAAGGAGGAACTCCGAAGGGTGTTCGCGACGTTCGACAAGAACGGGATGGGTTCATAACGAGGCAAGAACTGAGAGAATCTCTGAGGAACATGAGGATTGTGATGTCGGAGAAAGAGATCAATGAAATTGTGGTGAAGTTTGATTCTAATGGAGATGGCTTGATTGATTTCGACGAGTTCTGTCTGTTGATTGAAGAGTGCATGGGAAGTGATGGTGAGGCTGATGGAGAAGATCAGAAAGAAGGAGCTGAAGAACAAGACGAAGAGAATCTGAAGGAGGCTTTTGGAGTGTTTGATAGTAACAAAGACGGCCTGATATCAGTGGAAGAACTGGCTCTGGTTCTGACATCTCTAGGGCTAAGGGAAGGGAAGAAGATGGAAGATTGCAAAGAGATGATAAAGAAGGTGGATATGGATGGAGATGGAATGGTAGATTTCCAAGAGTTCAAGACAATGATGAAATCAAGAAAGCTTGTCTTAGCTTCTTAATTAGTTACAACTTTCTGCTCTTCTTCTTCTTCTTCTGCAGATCTGGGATGATCACCAACGAAATTGTGTAAATTTATGTATGATGTTGTACGGTACATATAAGTGTTTGAATTTCCAACTTTGGATTAGATTAGATATATTGTCTTCTTTCCATTCGTCTCCTTTATTTTCTTGCTTTCAGTGTTATTCTTACGTTTCTGTTTTTCCCTTTTCTTTTGCTTTCCTTTCTTTTTTTGGGTTGGCTTGGGTAGTGTCTTGTAAGAAGATGCTTTTGTTATAGTTACTCCTCAGTGAAGGAATTAATTCAGGGGTTTAGTTTGGTTCAGTAAGATCTTAATTTATTTTACTTTATCCTAATTTTTTTTATCTGATACAATATTAAATACACACATGCACACGAACATGTCAACACAGGGCTCGGATAACATTAAGTGATATTAACTCAGATTATCATATTAAGTGATTTTTTTTTGCTTTAATTTCTTCTTCTTTTTTTTGGTTGGGTCGGATAAAATTCGTTAAGTAGATGCTTTTATAGTTTTATTGAGAAATTAAGTTAGTCAGGGGTATAATTCAGTTCTAAATGTAAAGTTTAAATTTACTTTATTTCTTAAATTTATAATTTTTTCCCACTTCTTTACTCAATAGGATAAATGTTAAAAAATGGGGAAGAGTTTAGAAGGATGGGCAGGAATTTCTTATAACTACCTTTTATTTGTTTGTTGTTGTAATGATTGCAAGTTCAACTAAGATATACTATAAGTGTATGTTTAAAGGCAAAGTTCCTCAGTTCTGTTTTAAAATTTTTAATTGAATTAAATTTGATGTCAGATTTTTATTTTTTCCACTCTTTAGTCTTTAGTCAACCCAACAGAAATTATTTAATTTTATCTACTAATTTTTGTTGTTGTTGGTGGGCCCATGTTTTACCTAGCGAATTAACTGATTTTGTTTAGGTTTGTGAATTGAAACGGTCGAGTGAATTCTGTCTAAAAAGTGGTTGGTCAAATAATTTAGGAAAAAACATAGATCTGTACGGTTACGCGCTTTCTTTATAAATATAAATATAAATATAAAATATAAAACGCATTTTGTATTATACTACCTCCTCTTTTTAATTTAAGAGCTGGTTGATTAATTTAAATAAATTTAAAAAATTTATTAAATTAGTTATTTATAATAAATACTATGTGTTATCTTTATTAAAATATTTTTACTAATCATGTCTATTAGTTAGAACTATTTGATAGAATTTTTAATATATGAAACTACTATAAGGACTACTTTAAAAAGAATAGATAAATATAATAGATAAAATAAATTGAGTTTTATATTGAGATCCGAAACTACAAAATATGTTTTATGTTTAGGACAAGAAAAATACTTTATTTACATTTCAGGATAAATAACTAAATATGCTAATGGTATGAAAATTTTTGATCTTTCAAGAGATTACTTTCGGCCCTTAAATAAACTTAAAAATTATTCATTTAAATTAAATTAGCTCCAACAAAATTTTTATATCCTACCCTATCACACAATTTGTGAATGAAAAGGGTAATCACAACTATATTTATATAAGTATGGTTTAAATTTAAATCCCAGCCATTAATTGTAGGCCAAAAAAAAAATCCCAACCATTAATTAAGCTCCAGCTAAGCTCTTCGAAGTACTAAACAGATATCAGTATAATAAAAACTGACTGCAAAAAAGTCTAATAAAAAATTGAACTCCCCCCCGTTTTCTTCTCCAAGAAATTGGGAAGATAAACTAATAGAATATTTTATTCATGATGTGAACTTTATATTAATGTCGATTGATTGTTGTTTGTTGATAAGGAGAATGATACTTAGGTCATAAGAGAATGGCTTAATTACAGTTAAGTACTGCCAATATTTTTCAGAAAATAAATTATAAATATCAATTTAAACAAAAGGAAATTCTCAAGTCTCCATAATAAATGGGTATTTAAATTTTAAATATAAGTCTCAACTTGCTGGCAAAAAAAATATAAGTCTCAATTTGAAATTGAAATTCTTTTGGCCAAAAAAATTCCAGTTTATAAATTTTTGATTAAATTAATATTTGCGTCTTATTTTTTAAAAGATTTTTGTTTCTGAAACTCTATCTATCATTAATTCAAGGGTTGAATTTCATTCAACTCTTTAACCAACTCTTTCAATCTTTAATATAAAATCTATTTAATTAATTTGATTATATTAAAAAAATTAGGTAAGTTAGTTAATTATAATAAATATAACATGTTTTTTTTCTAAAATATCCTAATAATCTTTTTCAATATATTATTTTCTTTTCTTACTTGACTATGGTTAAGATAGTATCAATAAGAGTAGTTCGAAAAAATTTTATTAATATTAAAAATAAATCTTATATTTAGAATTAAGATCAATTCCATAACTAGATCCTATTAAGATCCGGAGGAGTGTGCTTTTTTTTTTTTCTGCCTTCAACAACTTAGATTATTGCATGGTCCATTTTGCACCTTTATTAGATATATCCAACATCTAAAGTACTTTGTGATTCATATCATTTATATAAATAAGCCATAATTCTCTGGGTAACGAAAACAAAAAAAAAAGCCATAACTTTTACAACCTCTGCAGTTTGGAGTTTCATAAACAATAATAGTAGCATTTGAGTCTAACTTCCCAGCAACACCGTACTGTAACGTACGGAAAAAAACAAATGTAGGATTATTATGAAGTCTTAAAAAGGAAATTTAATTCTTAAGAAGTCCCAATAACAAATGATTATCATTAATACGTTGTTATTTCATATTCTAAAATTTGTTATTGTGTGCTCTTCATTGGTTGATTAACTTTAAGATAATTAAATTCTTTTGAGGATCTAAATGTAATTCTCCCAAAAACAAAATAAGATTGATATTTCCTTTTTAGTTCATATTCATTTGTGATAGATAACCATTAAAGGCGAATCGGTGGATGAGTAGAAATTGAGCGTGTCGCTGTGGATCCCTCAATCTTACTTTCTCGTTCATCTGCCATTTTGCGCGATCAATCCCTTCTTCCTCCTCTGCTTCGCGATGCAGCTTTGTGTGGATGTGGGTTCAGAGCTCCAAATTATGTTGCTTTCATTCCGTTTCTCAGACGCTTTCAGTCCCTTCGCCGTTGGTGTGGCTGTGAGCTTGCTCTCCCGTGACCACTGAAGTCGTCTCCTTGCTCTACTGCGTTTTTGGCTGACAATTCGTTGCTGTTCGCGCGCTTCATTTTTCTTGGGCCATTCTCGTCTTTTCTAAAATGGGTAAGCTCAATTTATTTATTTATTTATTCTTCATTGTCGTTGGTGATGTAGAATACTTGAATCGTAGGAATGAGTGGAATTGGGGGTTCGAAGAAGGGAAGAAAAATTTATCTAGTTAGTGAAGAAGATGATTTAAAGCCGTGTAGAACTTGAGTAGTGTTTTTAGTTTTGTATTGAAAAGAAACTTGCTCGTTTTGAAGCTTACCTTATAGTTGGGTTAGCCAGTGCACAATAACTGCTTGTTAAAATGCCTCTAGAAGAAAATATATATGCATATGAAGTTTTCAAAATGACGAAAAATGCTGTTAAGACAATTCAACCATGAAAATGGTGCAAAAATACATATAAAGTTTCTAAAATAGTACAAAAATGCATATGGAGTTTTTAACAGTTATGGCATTTTTGCATCATTTTGAAAACTCCATGTATACCATTTTTTTAGCCTACGTGTTTGGTAAACAGTCAATGTTGACTCAATGGTCATGACATTTTTGCATTGTTTTAAAAACTTCATGTATATTTTTACATTCAAAAAATGTTTATGGTGTTAGATGCTCATACCAAAATATTTCGTAAGTAGATTTACAACTTAACCCATTAACCAAACTGTTCTTCACTATTTACATTCTTAATGAAGCCATGCGGTCGGTTCTTATTTTATGCCGCCTTCAACGTTGTTTTCAGTGTCAAGAAATCAATTCTTGTCTCAAGTTTAAATGTTCATACCAAAATCATGGAAGCCACTCACTTGCCAAGTTGATACACAAACCGTTCCTGGTGATGGATCTATGATTGGGCTCTCTTCATGCATCTCTCAGAGAGTTTGTAAGATAGAATAGTTATCAAATGCATCTGGAGTATTTTCTCAAATCCAGAGCCATGCGTCTTCTTTTGGTTCTTTTGACCTTATATTACATCCCATTAGCACTCTTCTTTTATCTTGCATCAACCTTAAATCACTGCCACAGAGTAAGCAAGTTCATGTCCAGATTATTTCACTTGGTTTTGATTAACACCCCATTATGGTTCCTAGGCTCATCACTTTTTAATGCAAGTGTCGATCTTCTCGCTGATGCTCAAGTTGCTATCGAAGCCACTAATTTTTTGGACCCTTTACCTTGGAATTTGCTCATGTCGTCCAATGTTAGAAATGGACTTTTTCCAGAGGCTACTTCTGTCAGTAAGAAAATGATGAATAAGCAGGTTAAACCAGGCAATTTCACTTATCCATCTGTTCTCAAGGCTCGTGGTGAAGCGTTGGATTGTGTTGCTGGCGTGGAGATTCACAAGTCTATTGAAACGAGCTCTCTGGTGTGGAGTTTGGTAGTGCACAATGCATTGGTCTCCATGGATGGTAGGTTTGGGAAAGTGGAGGCTGCCCGTGATTTGTTTAATCATATGCCTGCGGATAGAGATTCTGTTTCATGAAAACACTATGATAGATACTTATGCCTTTAGGAATATGTAGGAGGAAGCATTTCAGCTCTTTAAAAGCATGTGCAAGGAGGGTGTTGAATGGCTATAATCACACGGAGCACCATTGCTGGGGCGTGCTTGTGAACAACCAATTTCAGGAGTTCACTTCTTTTGATTTCTAAAACGAGAATATCTATTCATCATTTAGTGTGTGTTTGGATCCACGATTGGATCTCGAATAAGTGGCTTTTAGAGTGTTAAGCACGTTTGGGCTCTGGTTGTTGTTAAGGGCCAAAAGTTGTTTGAATTTGGCTTTTTCAGAAGCTGCTCCCTTGCTTATGCTTGTAGCTAATGGTGCTTATGATGTTGGTAGGACTGTTATAACAATTATTGGTGGCTTAGAAAAATATTATTCTCTCTCCTCTTCCTCATATTTGTCTCGTGCTTCACGCACCTCCTCTGTCTTCGAGCTTGTCTTGTCGCCTTGTTAGATCAATCGCCAGTCGTGGTCGCCATTAGCGGTTCATGCTTTCCATGGCCAGCTTGTGCTCGCCGTGGGAAAGTCGAGGTCAATCTGTGCTCGCTGTTCTTCTACCCTTCTGGCTTCGTCAGCTCTGTTCTTAGCGTGTGGAAGTCGCAGTCGCTGTCTCCAACAAGTCTTTGGCATCGCTAGTTCATGCTCGTCGTTGTGTGTGGGTAGGTTGGCCTGAAATCATCTTTTCTTGTCAAATCTCCTCCTCTTAGGTCGCATGGGTCCCGGATTTGGTGCAGGTGAGCTCTTTTGCGGGACCTTTGACTACATTCACCAGATTTTTTATGCTTTTTTTTTTTTTTAACATTTGAAGCTATTCTGATGGGGAAACATATGAATAGGCATGTGGGGAAACAATTTGAATAACTACGTTTTTTTTTCCCCCGGATACGAAGACAAGTTAACAAACTTGAGAAAGAGTTAAACAGACAAGATAACAGTTTTCAATTGATGTTAATAATTCAATAATCCATCGCATATAATCGAAGTTGCTTGCTGATGATTTTTGGTGGAGCACTGGCCTTTCTGATGGTCGGATTTTGTCCTTTATAGTACTTATATGCTTAATTTATTTAATATATATTTGAACTGTCATTAATAACCTCTCTTGTTTAATTTAAATGTATATCGGTAAAAGTTGGTCTGTTTCCTTGAACATTTAAATCTTGTTGTTGCTGCAGGTATTAACTGAATACATTCTTGTCTCTGTAAGTAGTGCAGTCACAGTCACAGTAGCAGGGGTGGTCGAGGAGGCTGTCTCCGTTTTGGTATTCAACTATTGTTTTATGATTTCCATTTCTTGATGTGAATATTAATCATTGTTTCTTGGTAGGTTTTAATCCTTTTGTTTCTGTACTACCTGTCCTGAGTAAAACATGATTGTTCATGAAACAGTTGACATGAGTAGAACATGACGTGAAAACACAAGCATTCATGGAACCATTATATCAGTGGCTTACTCCATAATTGTGCTATTTTTCAAGAAATGCAAGAGTTTGTGAGAGAGATTAAGATGTCAGTAAAGATTTATTACTTATCATGCAAAAGGCTTCAATGGTTGATTAAATTCGCTCTAGAATTTTTCTTGCATGTCACTTCATGAGGTGATAATCCACGTCATTGTTTTACTCTTACCTATTGGATAAGATGATGCGGCAATTTTATGTGCTGATTTGTGTAGCTTTGCTTGCTTGAGATCCTTTGTTTGGTTACTCTTATCTGTATTATATTCCATAGAAATATGGACCATGCGAAAGGAAAAGCAACATGGGATGCATTTACGACTAAAATTTTTATCGATGTCTTTGCCAACCAAATATTGAAAAAGGAACGATAAGGCACAGCATTCACAAAGCCCGGCTGGAACAATATTGCAAAGATATTTAATAAAAGGAGTGGGAAATCTTATGACAAGAAACAGCTAAAAAATAGATTTGATATATTGAGGAAAAATAGAAGTTATGGGAATCATTGATGTCTGGAGAGACTGGCATAGGGTATGATGCTGCCACAAATACTGTGTTGGCCTCTGATGAGTGGTGGCAACAAAAATTACTGGTAAATATTTGTGTTCCTTGGGTTTTAATTTGGAATATTAGTTCAAACATAGCTTGATTATGGCTAATTCTATGAATGTGGGTGGACCCAAATTTCAAGAAGTTTAGACGTCAAGAGTTGATGTTTGCATCTGACTTGATGAAAATATTCAGAGATATTTTGGCTTCGGGAGATTATATGTACGCACCATTTGTCACACAACCTGAGCCAGCACCTACTATGCAGACTAACACAGAAAGCGAGGACAATGTTTATAGAGTCATGTTGGACCAAGAGGAAGGGTCGGGAGACAACAAAGACGAAAATTTTGGTGTCATGCCAATAGCCAATGTAGGACTAACAGATGATTTGGCTAGTTGTAACTTAAACAACCTTGCTGTTAGTAGATGAAATGGTTCAGGAAGCTATAGAAAGAGGAAGAGAGTGAGGCTTTTTATCGGAACAAGAATAAAAAAGTTGCTGCCTCTAGATAAATTGTTGACAGCCTTAATGTTGTAGTATCTGCTTCTAAGCAGCGAGCATCAACATTGAACAATGATCCCCATTCAATTAACAAGGTTTTGACACACCTGGCTAACACTGAGAAGCTTGTCTTGCTTTCGCTACGGCTTCGGTGGGTTCCCTTAACCAAGCCACTACCTATGAGTCTCCAGCTCATTCTTCAACAGGCATGAGGTTAGAGCCTCGAGCTCCTCCCACGATGATGACAATGAACCATATTATGAATGTGTTAAAATGGTTTCCCGGTTGAGGTAGGCTAGGAAAGTGTATATGTCACTTATGAATGATAAACACAAGTTGTTAAAGTGGTTGATACCGGCACCAGAAGACCCAAACACATGAAAGGGATTCTTGGTTGAGGACTTTATAATTTTGTCTTCATTATTGTACTTTTTTTAATATGAACTGATGTCTGTTATAAGAACTTAATTAATGAGTATGTAATATGAGTACGAAAATTTTGACTTTTTATTTGTGTGTTTGGTTTATTTGTTTATAACATGGAATATATTTATTTACTACTTACAATGTTTATGCTTTCTTCTCCTCCTAATTACAGGAAACATCATACAATGGCCAATTGGAATGCTGACTCACTGTGAAATGAAGATACATTGACGAATTGGAATAATGATTCATAGTGGAAGGGAGGGGATCAGGATAGTCATTTGGCATGGTTATTTGTTATAAATAATGAATTAACATAATATGAAGTAGTAGGTGCATTACTAGCATTAGTGAGTCATTATTATCAAAGGTATATGTGTGAATAGTACCGTAGAACTAGTGAGTAAACATGAAATTTATGGGTGTAAGACATTTTGACAGCTCACGATGATTGGCAACATCATGAAATAGTCAAAGTGGATAAAGATGTTTTCAACCTCTTATATGCTAAATTGGCAGAACATGGTTTATGCGAGTCTAAATATGTAGGTATTAAATAAATTGTCACTATGTTTTTAAACACGACTACACATAGACAATGCAATAGAATGATCTAGGAATGATTTTAATGTTCAGGGGAAACTATAAGTAGGCAGTTTCACAATGTACTACAAATTTGACTTAATCTATTAAGGGAAATTATTCAACCCTTAGATCCTACATTTCATGAACCTCATAGAAAAATTGTGCAAGATTTATGTTATTATCTATTTTTTAAATATGCAATAGAAGCAATTGATGCCACTTTTATACAATGTGTTTTTCCATTTGCAAAGTGAGACAAAATTATTGGTAGAAAGGATTCCCGTCACAAAATGTTATAATTATATGTGAATGGAATATGTGTCTCACTTTTGTGTTGTCAGGATGAGAGGGATCTGCACATGATGCTCATGTGTTTAACACAGCTATTGCAACTCTGTCTCTAAATTTCCCTTAGCCACCTCTAGGTATATATCTATAACCTTTAACTAAGCTAATTTTTAATTATTTATATTTTAATTAATTTCACAATGTCACAATAGTTTCATGAATCATTAGGAAAATGTTATTTGGTTGATGCGGGATATCCAACACTAAATGGATATCTTGATTCATATAGATCAGAGCGCTACTACCTTCTAAACTTCTGACAACAAGTATAACCAAGCCTTTAATTATTATCATTACAGTTTAAGGTGCACAATAGAAAGAACATTTGGGGTTTATAAGAATATATGTCAAATCTTACAAAATATGCATGGTTATGAGTTCCAAACACAAGTGTACATGGTATGTGCAACAATGGTGATGCATAATCTTATAAGGAGACATTCGAGCTTCAACAACTATTTCTTAGAAGTTGAAAATGATACTATAATTGGGGCAGATGATCACACTGAAGCTAGTTAAGCATTGTCTTCAAATGTAACATCACAGTTTTCATGGCATATAAATCGCGTCCATGACACAATCAAAAACCAAATTGTCCACAGTTTATCAGATAATTAATTATGTAATGTTATTTTGTTTAAGCTTGTCACAATACAATGAATTTTAATTTAAAAATATTTTATCTATTGAAATTATGTTTCACTTTATATTTACAATAACATTTTATGATATTTCTAATGTTTTAAAATATTTTTCAATCATGAAATTTTGCTTCTTCATACTAAAATAATTTAAATTCATTGTATTATGTAAATTTATTTTTTTTATTTTTTATTATTTAATAAAACTCATACTCATTTTGATAATTTGACAAACTAAACTTACCAATTTAAATTCATAATATTATGTAAATTTATTTTTTAATCATTTTTATTATTTAATAAAACTCATATTTATTTTGGTAATTTTACAAACTAAACTTACTTTTATTTAATTATAATTTCAACAACTTTTTATCCGATCTAACTTTTTACAAACTAATTTTTATAAAATTCAATCTAAACACAATCCACATCACCCAATTTAGTATCTGTTTGGGAGAGCAATTGGTAAGTCATAAGTAACTTATTTTCACCATAAGTACGTTGCAAAAAGTAGAACCTGTTTGGGAGAACTTCCAGGCCATCGCACTTAGGGGCCAAAAATGGATGGAAATGCTTGATTAATGTTAAGCTGGGGGAGGTAGCTTTTTGAAGTAATAATCGTGCTTATAATTATACTTGTCGGATTATTCTCTCATTCCTCCCATTATTTTTTCATAATCCAAATAACTTTTTATCAAATCTAACTTTTACAAACCAACTTTTATAAAATCAAATCCAAACACAATTTACATTACCTAATTTTACTTTTACCCAATATAACTTTTTCAAAAGTTAAATTGAAAATAAGTTTTTTTTTTTACCACTAATCCAAACTGACCATTAACTTTTATCCAATCTAATTTTTTCAAAAGTTAAATAAAAAACAAATTACTTTTCCTATCTCTAATCAAACGGACCCTAACTTAAGACTCTCCGGCACTGGATTAAGTGCGTGCTCCCG